AAATTTGTTGTTATTTAATAGTTCAGCATGGAATAGAATCCTGCAGCACATAAGTAGAAGACTTCTGATGGGGATTCCTACTCCTATAGGGCACAAGTTTAGCTACCCAGTTCATCCTTTTGGGACTCTTTGGAAGACAATTTGTGTTTTTTTACTTAATAAATGTTATTTTATTTTGATTTAGGTATATATTATTTGTTGAGTAAACAGCACATTTTCTATTACCATTAATAACCGAGAGAACATGTGTAGACACCGAAATTTGGGTAACCGGGGTATTTTGTACCTTTAAAAATTTAAAATTCCCGCTTCGAACTAGCCGATAATCTAGATACCTGTTTTTACCGTCAAAGCTTCCCGTTACTGACGGTCAGCCGGTTGTAGCGCAACGCGGTTCCAAGTTTTAACATTTTACCGCCACCTCTCTTATTTTACTTTCTCTATGGGTTGAACTCCGTTAGTCGGAGGTTATCTATGGTCGGAGGAGCGAGTTTTTCGTCGGTTATTGTTATTGTTTGTGAAGTTGACGGTAATTTTGAAGTCAGTTTGTTCCTGTTCCGCATTTGAAGTTATACCGAGGTGAATAAAAGTTGGAAGCTGAAGAAAGAGTTGGATACTCGGCCATCCACGGTACATTATTAATCTAAAAAGAACTTCCACTTCTTCAGTGGACAAATGCATTTTAATGTACAATATTTATGTGAAATTAAGCTTTTACTGGTATGTTACCGCGATAATGTTGACAAAAACAGACACAACCCTATTGTTTCTTAAGCCTAGGCTTCCATTTGATTGGCTGTACATAAAATAATATTCTTCCTTATTCTGCTTTAGAAACACCCCATTAGGTGTTTTTCTTATGGCTTAAGCCTTATCCTTATTCTCGTGTATAAACCCACCATTACATTTTATTTGTGTTCAACTCGAGATTAACCGGTTAATATCGAGATTAACCATGTTCGAACTTTAACCGAAATATATTCCACTTTTACCAAATTTAATTCGCAACATTTCTATGTACGAATTCTCTATGTAAGTGTTCAATGTGGAATGTATGATTTATTATATTTTAGGTCGATCCATAGATTTGCTGATCCCAATGCGGACGTTTGCAAAGATTGATGTTTACATTTTTTGAGATTGATATCTCATAAATGTGAATAGATACTTTGCATTGAAACTTTTTTCAAGTTTGAAGGATTTGATGATTTGGTGCCGTTAATGGAACAACTATACATAAACATAGTTAGCTTCTGAAGATACTAAAAGTTATTTATATGTATCACTCATACGATTTTCTATGCTTTTGGGTTGATATGAATTTATTATGAACTTGTAAAGAGGCAATTTCCATGAAAAATATATCCCAGTTAATTCAGTGCTGTCAGTTAACCCTTTCGCTACGGCTTTCGATTTTTTTTGCAAATTACTTTTTTTTTGTTAATTAGTAATAAAGTTGGCTTACTCAGAAAAACATGAAAATTAAAAAAAATATATAGCGGTGGGGATGGTATAAATAAGCACCAGCTGTAATTACAAAATTTTTATGGTATAATTATGAACCATTAGGAATATACATACAAATAATTATAGGTGGTACAACGCAAAGCAAAGTGTACATAATGGAATTTGACACTCTTGACATAATGTTGTGCGTATTTGTGTTTTGTTTTCAGGACATCTTCTACATCGCCTTCTTGTACGCTCTTCAACTGGTAAATGAATGAAATACCAAAGCTTTTTTGCGTCTTTTAGAGATCCTACCGTTTCGGTCAGATCGTCGATGGTGAATAATCAAAAGGGTGTCTTCTTGCCTTCGTCTATAAGCTCTTCTGCGAATTGGAGAACTATCACTGCTGATTCTACTATTTTATTTTTTTCCTCGCTCTAACTATCGATATCAGACGGTATATTTTCTTTGTTTTTGATTTTTTCTTTTAGCCGCTGGTTTCATTATCTGAGGTGCTTTCTTCTGTGGAATTAGGTTCATAACCGTCGCTGCTCCCACTTGACTCTGACCAAGATTCGTCTTCAAGATATAAATTCTTAGCCATGGTTTCCAATTCCGTTTTTGTAAGTTTTTTTGTGCCATATTTTATCAATTGTAACTGTAAATTTGAATCAATCGCGCAAATTTGAATCACGTTAGATTACTACTGGTACAGATTTAAACTGTCTAGAGAACTGCTGGTATACATTTGACCCACACTAGAAAACTGCTGGTACATGTATGTATATGTGTAGTATATACCATCATGATTGAACTCTATTATTTGGTGATTTTCATCATAAAGTTATGTAATTACGTTTACACGATCATGCTTCCAATACTAATAACAGCCAGAAAAATTTAATTGAGTCAGGAAACATGTTGGCGCGCTCTTAGCTGACGACAAAATACTTTACGGCACACATACGTACCATTATAAATGATAATTATCACGCACAGTGTTACAAAAATGATGATGGTACAAATATGTACCCACAGTAGCAAAAGGGTTAATCCATTTATAATGTTTGCAGTGTCTTTTCGGCGTGGTTTCGTCTTTTGTTGGTATCCCCCGTTACTACAGTTACATGCTGGGTAAATTATGATGGACATAATAAATACAGGACAGTTGCCAACACCACCCAGCATGTACCCGTAATATCACCTAGTAGTATAAAGTAACTTTAACTAGTAAATAGTCAATACACGTTTATTTATTTGTGCCTCTCATATGCGACGTCTAGTGTTATTTATGACTGTCCAGACAATAGTTGGTGGTTCGAAGCAAAAATGTTATGTTCGAAATAATTACTAGTAGCAGCTTTTACAGTCGTTAGATGCTACTTACGGCAACACCTAAAAACAAACACCCTTTACCATGAAGATATAAGATATATTGTTAGGGTTTTTTGCAGACGGTTGCAATAAAAAGTACTTCAATAATAATAATCGTATATATTGCTCCAATTCTTAACACTACATACTAAACCCTATATAATATACCAATTACTGCCTTACACAACTTGTTCAAGAAGGGCTCGCCATATCAATAATTTCCTATGGTCACACGTCCACGCTGTAAATTGTAGTTGTCGAGCCTATTAAACCAAGACCGTGCAGCGCCTTGCAAGTATAAAATATAGACCTGCTCATACTCCCACCAGCTTTTTTTTCGCCGAGCTGATCGCTCTTTAAGGATCGATCGATGGCTGGCAATTGCCAGAAGAATCCAAGAGTATTCAAACCAGAACATTTAATATTCCACGAATATTCATAGTGAATATTCCAAGGACAAGAAGGTTGTAATTTTAAAATATGCTATAGATATTCAAGGAATAATCCAGAGCTTTCGAATCATCGTATGAATGGCATGATACAATTATATTAATCAAATCAAAATAAATATGTTATGGTAGGATACTGTGCTGTACAACAGAAGTGAGATAAGTATTTTGCTTTTGAATTTATCAGCCTCAAAAATTATGTTTTTTCCAGAATTTTGCATTCAGAACCAAATATACTGAAAATATATAATATAAAAAAATATATTGAAAATGTTTAACTGTTTTACAAAATGTATTTTCTTAAAAACCTCTTATCGTTATAGTACTCGTTTTCAGCTAACTGAGCTGGCCCCAACAAACCAAATGTATCAGTATTCACTAGATCATGGTTTCTAAAAAATATTAGCAATTTTGATGAAAAAAAAATCGTAATTAAGCTTCTTATTAATGCACGGAACAAAAGCATTTTAATAAGAGAAATTTAACGAATGCACTGTTGCATTGGTCTTTACAATTCTGTGTAGCAGTTGTTATTTTTTCTTCTATTTTAGTATTTGAGTACGACGATTATCTATAGATTTACCTAACTATTATTAGTTTACCTAATGGTAAACTTTTAAAAACATATAATTTTAGTTTCGGACAAGACAACTTGAAATGACTGAGAATAAGAAATTTTAAGCTGACAGCTGATCATAATGCTCATTGAATCAGTTTACAAGTATTGTTAAAAACTCTTTATTTTATTATTATATATGTTAATTTTTATAACATTGGTGTAAGACCGCCTCGTAAACGCAAGTATACTGTTCTGTCACGTTGACGATTTTTCCAATTTAGAATCTTTCCTAGGAGAGGAGAGACGTTAAGCGTGGTGCATTTTCAACATTTTTAGTCTTGAAGAGTATAATAATTATAAACTAACGTAAAAATTTTGATTGAGCATGTATGTTTCCGGAAGTAGAGTTTTAATTTATATAGGTTGGCGACATTGGGAACAGCCGGTGAACTGTCAACAATCTTAACATTGGTTTTGTCAATATTGTCAGGTTTACGTGGAAGTTTTTGTCGTTTATATGAAATCCCGAAAATATTTATTAATTTAACAAAATTGCGTATGTCTTGTATACATGTTTACCCAGATCATAGTTATACCATAAATTACTAGTTTCAGGTAAATAACGATGTCGGAAGAACAAACTCCTGATCCTGGTGGAACCAGTATAACACCTCAGGAGCTCAGCAATGCGTCCGATCAGCACCAATTTGTTCATACAGCTCAGCTGAAGGAAATGTTGAGAAATGAACAGAGCAACATTTCACAGGAGAAGGTAGAAGTAGAATGTTCACATCAGACGCCTTTATAACTAAACTTGTTTTTCTATCGTACATATACTTTAACATAATATAAATAGTACACTATGTAGTGACTACATATTGTATATGTATAATATGAAGAGTACACGGTAGTCTTGGTTAAAATGAATTCAATATTATATCTAGGTAGATGATTATCTCAAAACTTTAAATAAAGCGAGAGCCAAAAGATCCAAAATAAGGAGCGGGGAAACTTCTGGTAGCAGTAGCAACATTACAATAAGCAGTGCAAATATTGACGCTAATAAAAAAGAGCGAGTTAATCTACTCAGGCAGCAGCTCGAAGAAAACAAGTACGTTCAAATCATCTTGAATTTATTTCTCCAACTTAACCGAATTGCTATCATAGGGCTAGATTGGCACAAAGAGGCAAAAGCCAAAAAGGAATTGAAGAAATGGTAATTCAACTGCAAGCACAACTAAACGATTCCCAAACATTAGTCAGTTCAACGCCACTAAATATTTCACTTGTTGAAACCAAAAACTTAGATTACAATGAAAACACCCCACAAAAGGAATTATATAATATTCTACTAACCAAAGAAAGAAAAATTGCGGATTTGTTATCTAAAAGTGAGAAGCTAGAAGGGTCTGTATTGGATCTACAAGAAAATCTTAAAGAAAAAGATTCAGTAATCGACGCGAGGACAAAGGCAGTCACATTAATGACTGAAAGTTTGAGTAAAAAAGGCAAAACTACATTGGATGCTTTGGAAGAAACTAAAGATGAAATGAGGTTGATGCAAGAATCATTTGTAAATTTAGAAGCAGATATGCAAGCTAGACAGTCGCTTTTGTTAAATGATTTAAAAGCAAAAAACCAGCAAATTTATGAGTTAAACGAGATTAATGACAAGTTAACCAGAAATTTGCGAGAAAAACAAAAGTCAATACGCGGGTAAGGAGAAACGTTATTTATACCTATATTTTGTATTACATGAGATACCGAATTGTGTTATAGCGCACCGTTCAGAGTCACAACTGCCGAAGGTCTGGAAGTTGAAGTAACCAGAAGAGAACTTGCATTGAGGGAAGCAATGATTCTCCATGATGTTACTGCAGGTGAACCAGAAGGGGAGGACTTCGAAAAAAGGTTTTCTGAAATCTGTGAGAAGGACGCTAATTTGAAAATTGCGGAACTAGAAATGCAATTGAAAGGTGCTTTGCTAAGATTAGAGGAAAAAGAAGCCAGGATTATTTCTACACAAAATGGTGCAGACTTGTTGAGAGAAAACAGAATTTTACATCAGGAAATCTCAGATCTGTATGCAAAAATCGAAGAGCTAGAAGGCACGGTAGTTCAACTACAGAAGTTTGAACACCAATATATTGAAGCTGCAGAAGCCATGAACAGGACTACTCAAGAAAATGAAAATTTGTTGAGCAGTCATTCAAATAATCTGGAAAAAATTGGAGCACTGGAAAAACAATTGGCTGATGCTCTGACAGAGTTGAAACTTTTGAAAAACACTGGCATGAGCAAATCCGTTAAATCAGACAAAGATGGTAAGAAATTAATAAGCAGACTTCTGCAGTTTTTATAATTGATTTCCTTCCTTTCTATGTTTCAATGCGAAATAATAGCAAAACCAAAGCAAAATTTAGGCTAGGTAAAAGCTCAAGTAAACCGTTGCTGCACATTTCAAAGCGCATTGATTCGCTGTTTTTAATACATAAGTATTAGTTGTTTAGATATTGTTATTGTTAACTTTCTTAAATATGGGAATAAAGTTGACATAATAGTCTAGTAACATTTTGGGCTTTTGCGGCCGTTATCTAACTTTTTATCAAGCTAAAACTCGACTTTGTCTCTTAGGTCTGAAAATTGATAGTTAGTATTCAAATCACGAAAATAGCTTAGGTGAGTTAGCAAAATATTTCACTTTAGTCATCCATGGATGAAAACCTTGCAAAAAATATATGTTTTACATAGGCAGAGGTATGTTTTTTTTTATGAAAGATTGGTTTCAATTTATACTCGTTTATGTTCAACTTAAGGGGGCGATACCTATATTTTTTATTGTTATGTGTAGTAAATTCTAAAACTAATTGGTTACATGATTACAATTTAAGTTTAAGTTTCAGTTTCAATTTGTAGACGGTGAAATTACGAAACTGAAAAAACAACTTGAGGAAAGTAACAAAAATATGATTAAAATGAGAGCAGTCCAAAAAGGAAAAATCAAGGAGTTAAACAAGAAACTAGACCAGTTTAAAAAAATGAATGATTCCAATGTTTTAATAACGCAACTGCAAAACGAAATTGTTAATCTTAATGAGAAAATTGCCGAACTGGAGGATGAAAAAGGAAATTTGCAGTTAAAAATGGTTGATTCCAGCACCAATTCTAAAGACGGTGAGTTTCTTAAGTTCTGTTGTAATTTTAACTTTGATACCAGGAATTTGATTCAACACAAAACAACAAATTTTTACAAATAATTATTATCGACCCGAAATCATCCACAAATCAAATAAATCTTACTTTTCTGGATTTATTTGTCGCAAATTCATTTATTAGCGTTTGAATATCAAGCTGCTGTAATAAATCAGATTCAATAGATATTATGGAAATATTTTCCAGGCGCTCCTTTCCATTGTAGAGCGTAAGTAATTTTTAATTATTTTTAGCTTCGAAAATGATCTCTCCGCAGTAGCTACAGAAATCGGTATGGTTAATAGTATACGTATTGCAATGGTAACATTTGGGAACGAATGAGTTAAATTATTTTCTATGATATAATTAAGCGTTTGCTCTAAAGATAAACCACTTTGATTGAAACGATGTAGGAAATGCACTTCTTGCAAAAGTTCGACCGCGTTTATGTCTTTCTCATTTCGATTGTTATCAGATAAAGCTTCTTCAAGTTTATTACAAACTTTAAATTGCTCTTGCTCAGCATACTTATTAAAATCAGCAATGTCCCATAAAAATTTAAACACATCCGAGTGAGATGACAGAAGTTCGAATCTTTCATTTACAGACGAAATTGCAATGTCTAACATTTGATAAAAACAATTAACTTTAAACTTTAATTCTTCACTTTCTATAGGTTCATCTTTGCCTTCGTAATCAAATTGTCTTTTTATTTTTTCGCGGTCTTACAGTTTCCTGACTCTTAAATATTGGTTCTACATCTCGGGAAGATGCTAATTGTTTAGCTTCTACAACCCTGTCATTGAAACCTTTAGGCCATAGACATATTAAATTTTTTGGCTTGCAAAATTTTACCAACAGTATTAACTCTATTTAGTATGTTGTACCACAGTACTAACATGCAAATAAATTGAAATTTTTTTATCTTTCTTGCTAAAGATGTAGCCAGATGTTTCGCAGAATTATCAAAATTATTTCCAGATAATATTTCGTAGAGAGCATCATATATTTCTCCCAGTTGAAATCTTAGAGGAGTAATTGCATCAATTCGGCTAGACCACCTAGTCTCTGATAAAGGTTTTAGTGTTAAACTTGAAATGTTCTTCTTTCAAACAGACCACCGATTTGTTGAGGTGGCGAAGAAGTTATATAATTCAGAAACAAGTGAAAAAAAATGTATATTATAAATAATTCTTGAAATAACCTCGCGCGAGTACTTGATTTCCCTGTTTAGTACATTCTGCATTTCCGAATCAACAGTTTGGTTTGCTTTCAGTCGTTTTAAAAAATCCAAACGACGTATGTTGGAGAAATGTATTTTGCTCGTTTCATGGAGTTTGATATGTTCGCTTAAGTGAGGCCAGTCATTAAATCCAGCTTGCAGTAATTTTGTATGTTTGGCAGTGCTTGAGTCATTGAATATTTTACAACAAAAGCAATAAATAACAATTTTCTCGGCGGAATACAATAACCACTCTCGTGGAACTTTTTCATTATTTGGTAAAATTCGTGTAAAATAAAAGTCGGAAAATTTTCGCCCCGTTTTGTCCTTTGGATAATGATGATCCCTGTTTTGGTAATGTGCAGTACCTTTTACAACCAATTCTATAACTTGGGATGGAGATAATGTACCAGGCCATAAACTCGGATCCTTAGAAATGGGTAAAGACCCCACTATTTCTGGTACCCTATCTGAATTAATCTCTTCTCCAAGGGCATTTTCTTTTATTTTATGCTGCTCGGTTGCGCCGCATACCGTCTGACCATCTTCCGCTTGTTTATTGCAGTATGAAGGTAACAAAATAAAATCTGGATCCCTTTCATCTACTCTCATTGCAGTTGACGGACCACTACGATTATCCTCAGTACTGCCTGGAAGATTTGTAGGACTACAACGAGGTTTCTCAAGAAATTGAGTAATTTTTGAGTTGGTCTTTTTTATGTCATCTTCTCGTTTTCTTTTATTCAGCAAATGTTGATATCCAGATAATTTTTTTCTTTTTTCTTCTCTTGCCATCTGGGAAAAATGAGAACATGAAAATTAAGATAAAAAATGTTTCTAATTGAATTGAAATGGAGACTGCGGCCTTTAATCAGTAAAATTAAAAAGTGAACTTAAAATTAAAACAATTTATTTATTAGACGTTTTTACTTTTATATTGTTTTGTTTGAAACCGACATAGATTTCTTATGGAAATAATGATAATTTTCTAGTTGTCACGATTACGGTGGAGTATTTTCACTTTTCTTACCTTGTAGATAATCCTTTTCCTAACACTTTTTCTTAGTGGTGTTTGCTGCGGAAAATCGATTTTCTATCATTTTTGCTCATTTAAAGTTGACCAATTTCGAGCCCATTTAAGCGATTTAATCAGTTTTTAATTAGTTAGTTTGGCTTAGAATTTTCTTTCCTTTTCAGTAAAATAATATAATTTTCCAAAACTATGCTATTATTACAGTGCCTAAGTCAGAAAGGTAATTTTCCCTTGTGGCCAAGGTCAGTTGAAGTTAAATAACATGGTAGAAAACAGTATTATTTTATTGAAAAGGAAAGAAAATGGGAACCCAAACTAACCCAGAATAATTAGTTACACAGGTATGAAACTTCCAAAAATTCAAAATCGAACAAGAAGTGGATTAAAATTGATAGAACAACGATTTTCCGCAGCAAACACCACTAAGAAAAAGTGCTAGTAAAGGAATTATCTACAAAGTAAGCAAAGTGAAATACTCCGCCGTAATAGTGATAAAACCAGCAAATGACGGAATAATAAGTATCTACATCATCTAGATTATTTTAATGTCTGTAAAATATTTGAAAAAATCTAATCGGTATTATGTATGTAAATAAGTAAATTTTAGTAAATTACTTACCTAGCTTCTTTTTTGTCTATTTTGGAACTAAACACTAAATATAGAATAAGTTACTGTTTCCGCGAGGAGCCGGATAATTGAGCGATCGATCGAAAAACGTGAGGAAATCGAACTGGCAGAAAGCAATTCTGCAAGACCTGCTAGAGTCGATTACGGCTTTCAACAATAGAGTATTGTTTCGCCGGGATGAATGTGGGCTTTGAAGAACCACATGTCGTACGAGGAGTTCTGATAATTTTTTTAAATGATCACACCGCCGCGGCGCCTTTTGACTTTTGGCGCCGTCGTGCAGTGCACGCCTTCGCACTAATGGACGGCGCGGCCCTGGCTTCACGGATATTATTCTTTAAATCTTCCACGGTTGCGGGACCGTTTACAAACAAGAGATTTCAGGTATCCCCACAGGAAATAATCACAGGGAGCCAAATCAGGAGAGCGCGTGGGCCATGAGATGCCCGTACCCTTGATAAAATTGATCCTCGAGTAGGAACACTACTCTGAGGGGGTATATTGAACAATTGATTTTCCGCTTGAAAAGAACATCTGGACGGCAAAAGTACGTTGTTGTTTCTGCCAAAGCTTTTTACGACTGAAGACGGTTTCGTAACAAAGTTCCCCGCCTACACGTTCTATTGTAATGTTTCGCGAACCCAGTACACCAACGAGATTGCCCTCTTAAAAGGCCTCTAAAAAGAGAGTTCTTGTGCCGCACCCTGTAGAACCAAGGGCAGTGCCCGTCAAGCTGGGTTTTAATTACTCTAGTTGATATTTGATACTTTTGATAGTTTTATTGATTTTATTTTTGGTTTTTCTGATTGCAGATTTTACCGAAAGTGAAGAGGAAATTAAGCAACTAAAGGAAAAACTTAATAAAACAGAGCAAGAAATAGATGAAAAGGACAAAGTGATAGAAATTCTAGAAGCAGGTGAGTCGTATTGGACAGACAGACAGAAGATTGCATCTTACACGTAAAATACTCACTTAAGTAATTTTGTTGACCTGTCTAAGAGGTATTTATCAACATTATGTTAATGAGACAAGATATGTTTTGATTTCATTCTCACTAGGTACCTTTTTAGTGATTTTTACTAGAATCTGACGTTAAATTTTGAGAACTAACTCATATGACTCACCCATATTTGCACCTATTTGTAACATTTAATATAAAATGGGTTCAACTAAAATAATGTTTTTGGCAGACCGGCAACATCAAAAAAGCGAAGCTTTTACAAACATAAAAATTTCAATGTATCAAAACCCTTTCTTTTTTAAAAATAGTTTTCATAACTTATGTCGATTTACCCAAAACAATTTTGTAAATCGACATAACGTTCGGCAACCAGAATTTAACACGTTTACCTGAATACCTGAAACATTTTTCTAGTTATTCAATTGCGGGCGGCTTAGTTTTTTAAACTGCTTTGAAAAGTGACCTTTTGGTTCTTATTTGATGCTGAACATAATTACAACCGAAAAAGCATATCTAGCAATACGAAAGCCAGTTTTCTTTAAAGGTATTTGTCCTTTCACAATGTAATTTTTTAGAGGTTATTTCGTTAAAATCCGATTTGCAAATAAAAAGTGAACAGGAAGTCAAAGTAAGCAATCAAGTTTCATCGGAAGTATCTTCGATATGTTATGAAGAGCAAATTGAAAAGCTGGAATCAGAGAAAAAAGACCTTCTTCAACAAATAAACAATCTTAACGCTGATAAGGAAAATTTACTTCTCGAATTAGAACTGGTCAAGAAGGAAAAGCAGGAAATAAGTGCAAAGTTAGATTTATATATTCAGGTATGAATTGATACATGAGATTTTAACATTCTCACTGTTAATAATTTACGACTTTTAGGAAAATATTGATTTGATAGACAAATTGGAGAAGCTCAGCGCCGAGAAAGTTTCTTCTGTGGAAAGCATCGAAATAGTTGAAGGTTTAACACATCAAGAAAAGCTAGAGCTGGCAGCTTATCAGAAACACATCAACCCTGAAGGTGTACAGATTTGTTTTACAATTTGTTAACAGGGTACTGATGTATATGAATTTTATTGCAGAGTCTCTAAAATGCACAGAAGATGATGTCCTGGAACCGCCTGTTGAATTAAATGAAAGTGTTTTGCAACTAAGTGAAGATACAGTAGAGTTACTGCAGAAAATTGAAATGTTTACTCAGGAGAGAAAAGAAGTTATGCAAAAGATGGAATCCTTGAAGGAAGAAAATAATTCTCTAAATATCAAGGTTATTTAGTGATTCAAACTGTTTTTGTTGTCTCGTTATTTACGTTTTACTTTTAGATTAAGGAAATTGAAAACAACCGAGATATTTTGGAGGAAACATACGAACAGGTTCAAAATGAGAAGGACATTCTTCACAATGAAAAGGAGCAATTGGCTGAGAAACTGCTTAAATTGCAAAGAAAAGATGAAGAAGTAAAGGTTTGTTGTTAAGTCACAGAAATCGTCTCAAATTTATCAATCGCATGTTTTTGTTTACAGCCGGCGGAAGCGTCTACAATCGTTTTAGACACCGAGCTAAAAGAGTTGCAGATAAAATGTGAATCTTTGATCCAAGAGAACGACAAACTGAAATGTAAACTGAAAGACTTCGATTCGATAATACAAGAAAAGTACGACATTGAACATCGATTACGAGATGTATTAGAGAACAACACTAGTCTGGACACTAAACTAAATTCTAACCTCGATGAAATTAACACCTATCAACTAACGATTGAAGAAAATAAAACAGAACTTATCAGTTCCGCAGGGATAATTAATAAGTTACAGAAGCAACTAGAAGAACGAGAGCAGGATATTCAAGAGCTTCATATGAATATTAGTGAATTAAACAGCGTTATTAGTGAATTGCAGAGTAAAGAGAGTCACTTTGCTGAAATGGAATCGGAGCTCAGTGATTTAAAGTCCACGCTTATGACACAAATCACGCAAGCTGGTGATTATGAGTCAGAAATCTCTCAGAGCAATGAAATTATAAGAAATCTTAACGATGAATTAGTGGCAGCAAACAGACGATATTTGGAACTGGAAAACGAGATTGCACTAAAGCAGCATGAAATAGAAAAACTTACAAAAGATGTTATTAATAAAGATTCGTTAATTGTGAGGCTACAAGAAGATATTGAGAAGAAAGACCAATCATTTAAAGTCGTCAGTGAGGATATGAAAGGAAAGTATTTACAACTCAAAGGTCAATTGGACGATAACGATGATTCGCTGCATCAACAGATAACTGAGTTAAGCAACAAAAACAAAGACCAACTGGGGAAAATGAAAAAAATTGCAGCTAATTTGAAGAAAAAGTCAGTGTTATATCAAGAGTTAGAAGATCGTTACAAGGCAGATGAAGAAAAATGGAAAACTGAACAAACCCAAGCGAAAACGCATATTGAAATCTTAGAAGAGAAAGTTACATCTTTAACACATGCTTTAGCAGCTTCTGAAAGCAACTTAGAGTATAATCTGCAACAAATTGAATTACTTCAGAATGAGCTTCTTAGTTTGCGAGAGAAATTTGAAATATTAGAACAAACTAATGCCGATCAGCAGCACTACATTCAAAACCTAAAACGTAAACAAGAAAAACTAAGTGAAACAAGTCTGCAGCAGGAAATGTCTGATAGTCTCCATGAAGAAGTGAATTCCAGTTTTGCTAAACACGTTCCTGATGATAAAATCAGAGAACTGGAGCTATTAATGGAAACAAACGAATTGCAGTTAAATGACTACAAAGAAAAAGTGGACAGGCTTCAAGAAGATCTTCGAAATCACCAAGACGCCAACGCCCATTTGGAAGCGATCAACGCAGAACTAGTTGAAAAGCTAAAATTAACATCGAATAGTTTCAAAGAAAAGGCATTGCTGCAAGATCAATTGGAATTGCGCTTGGCTGAAATATCAGCAAATGATGAAACTCTTAGTAAAAGACTTCAAGAAACTCAAGTTGAACACAGCGAAATACTCAAAAAATGCGCCGATTATGAGGAGCTTATTAAAAAAATGAAAATCAAACTGAAAAAGGCACACGATAAAGTTACCGAGTTGAAGGCGATGTATGGAACTGTCCAGGATTTGGAAGCTACAAATACATCGTTGAGAAATCAAATAACCACTCTGGAGGAAACTCAGCGACATCTTCAGAATGAGAATGAATCATTACAAAAGAGAATTTTATCTGATTATGAAAAAATCGAAACAGATTATCAGCTGCAACTACAAGAACTGTTGAAAATAAAGAACGAACTGACAATTGATAATGAAAAGCTAGTGGATAGCGTTAAAGATCTTGAAGAAAGGGAGCTGCAATTAACATCTGAATTAGTTGACCATAAAAACCGAATTGATGAAATCGAAAAAACCAAATCCGACGAAATTAAACTTCTTTTGCAAGATCTTAACTATGCAAAGTTTAAGAATGCCGAGTTAGCAAGCGAACGAGATGATGCTAATTTAAAACTTCAAGTATCGGTGACACAAATTGTTGAGCTTGGACAAGAACTCAGTACCGCGCAAAACCAACTACTGAATTACGAATCTCAGCAAAAATATATACAAGAATTGACGATGGATAGGGATGAACAGATCGAGGCTTTAAATCGCTTTAACGATTTGCATCAACAATTCATCGCTGAGTCGAGTGAGCTAAAACGTGCGCTCCAAAATTCTGAGAATGAAATCCTGAAAGTTACACAGCAAAAAGCCCAGTTGGACAAAGAAAACGAACAGTTAAAGCAGGAAATTCTAAGTTTAGAATTTGAAAAATCTTGTCTTGAAGCTTCTTGTCAATCATCGCAAAAACCTTTCGAACCACCAGTGACAGAGGCACTGAATAGTCCTGCTGCAAGCTTGCAACTAACCGAAACAAAAATATTAGCTGACAGTGAAAAGTCGGTTTTTGAACTTGAAATACTTCGCCAACAGTTAAACAACTCAGAGCAAGAGCTTCAAAATGCCGTCGAGGAAATAAATGTCCTAAAGAAGCGACTGTGTGAAAAATCTTCCGAAAAATTTGTTAAAAAATCTTTACAAAAAGAACAGGAAAATTCAGTTTCAAGAGAAATTGATAATAAAGTTAATCAAATTCCTCTATTTAATGCTTTTGCCGAACAATCTGTTGCGTCTAGTTCTGTTTTTGATAGTTTTGGAGCTACGGGGCAAGTTGAGACAAATTGGGGGCGCGAAGTCAATCAATCTTTGCAAGTGGCCGATGATTCTCAAGCCACAGTGAGCATTACCGACAGTCACTCAGAGCAATCACAACAAGAACATCCCTCATTCCCTCCAGTTGTAGAAGATGGACGCGCCGCATTGTTACAAAAAATAAAAGCATTAGAGTTCCTCTTGTATAATGTCGATAAAGAGAAAGAAATTGCTCAGGATCAGTGGACTGCAATGCTGAATGAGCTTACCAAATTGATTTATAAAAAATCAGCACCATCCGAAGCGGCTTTGGAAAGTGAGATTTTATCACAGTCTACGGTTGACAATTTGTCTAATATTAATAAAAGAGATTTGCAATCGATCGAATTTACCCCAATCAACACCAATTTCGGGGAGCAAGCAACACCTGTGGCAGAAGAACTTGTGGAGCCAAAATCAGCTTACATGTGCTTTGGAGGAGGCGAGTTGCATAAAGAAGATGCTAAAAAAATTGAGTCTCTTGAAAGTCAAATATTACCAGAGCAGGACGTCGCTGAAGCAGCTTTAAACAAGAAGGAACTTCAAAAGCTTGAGTATGAAATAGTAGAGCACAGTCTGGGAGAACAGCGTCAACCAGTAATCGAACCACTTGTTAAACCAAAGCATGCTTACCTTTGTTATTCAAAAGATGATAAGCCACAAAGCCTAGAAGCATTTGAAGAAAACGATGATGGATGGGGGTGGGGTCCAGAGGAAGCTCGCCTTGAAGAAGAGCATATGAGTACTGTGGAAAATACACCACAAGTTAAAAGTCTGCTTTTAGAGATTCAACAGCTGAAAGAAAATATCATGGTACTGCAGATTGAAAGAGAAAATCATTTAGAAGAAATAAAACAATTGCAAATAAAATCAGGAAAACTTATTAAAAAATGTAAAGAACTCAAGTCTAAAACTGAACAAAGTGTGTCAAGTAAAAAACAGGACGACACATCTTTCTTTGATCTAAATGAGACAATTCAAGAAGAACTAAAAGCACAAGTGCAACAGCTTGAAAAGAAACTCAAGGAACTTACAGTTGATCAAGAGAAAGATAAAGTTGAGAAAAATAATTTACTAAAGAGAGTCGATGTTTTAACATCAGCTAATGAGCGAATGCTGGAAATGAAAGAAATTCAAGATTCTGAAGTTTTTAGGCTTCGAAGAAATTACGATGAAATTGCACAAAAACTACAAGAAAATGAATGGGGTAGTGATGGATTTGGAGAATCTCAAAAGCCTTTGACCAGCCTGGTCATGACGACAGACATGTCAGCCGACGCAGATCAGATTACTAAAATTAAGCAACTGGAAGACACAATTAAAGATCTAAGTTTGGACAATGAAGAACTTCAAACATTACTTGAAGAGCAGAATTCTAAGAGGCTTGAAGCTGAAAAGCTGAAAAATACTGACAACGAGCCAGAATTAGTAGAATTGAGGAATATTAATGAAAATCTTCATAGAGAGTTAAGCGAAACAAAAACTCGAATTGCCGAGCTTCAAGCGGAATTGAATCGACTCGAGATAGAAAAAAGTGATTTTAAAGGAAAAATTTGTAACTTGGAGGACACACTCCGTCAACAAGATGTCACTATCCAAGAATTAAAAGTATTCAATAGCCAATCGCAAGGAATAGATCTAGATGAAACAGAAGTTTTCGATATGAAGAACCAAACGTCTGGTCATCAGGAAAAGTTACGAGCACAAGAGGATATAATTGATGAATTCCAAAGCAAACTGCATGATGTTACCAATGCGAAATTTGCACTGGATCTGATAGTCCATCAATTGCAACAAGATTCAATGGCGAAAGTTGAAGAAAATCTACAGTTACTATCTAGTTTGAAAGAAAAGCAGCTCCAAACTGAGGAACTGCGTTTACAAGTTGAGAACTTAAATGTTTCTACAAACGCTCAAGAAAGTGTCATCAACAACTTATCTGTTTCAGTAGAACAACTCAGAAGAGACAAAACAGTTTTAGAAGGCCACATCACTGAACTTAACAATAAGTTACAGTACAACGAAGAAGAACTTCTAAGGCTAGCAGCTGATAATCAACAAAAGGAGTTGAATTATCAGACTGTAGAACAAGAACTGCAAAGTAAGATTATGGAAAATCAACAATATGAGAGTGTAATAGATGAACTGAAAACAAGAGTTTTAGAAAGAGAAGCGTTTGCTATACAAAACAACAAACTGGATGAAGAAACTCAAAATCTTAGTGAACAGTTGCGCGTTAAAACTTTGGAACTAGAAGAAGAGGAGCATAGCATCAAAGAGTGGCAATTGCAGCTAGATGAAAATAAGGCAGGGGAATTAAGCGAGATAAATAATAAAATTCGGCAAACTGAGGAATTATTTACCGAAAAGTTGAATAAGGATGCTGAAGTAATACAACGGCTTTCTACAGAGCTTGAAAATAAAGAACATGAGTTTCAAGAACGCATGGATACATTTATTAGTGAACTCAACGAAAACTGGAAAGTTCAGTCCGACCAGCGAGCTTGTGAGGTGGAGGAAACTTATAAAAGACATCTAGAAGCGATGGATAAAGAATATATTTCAGTTCAAGAGAAAATGAAATTGGATATTGTGGAGCTGCAAGAAAAATGTAATCTTCTCGTGAACGAAAATAACGAACTCAGAAAAAATGTTGACCAAGAAATAAGAAATGAAGTTGATAATAAATCAGCCATGCAACATCAAATATCAAATTTGCAGAAAACCATAAACTTGTTGAATGAGAAAGTCGTTGAAAAAGACAAACAAATCGAAGAGCTTCAGAATTATTTATCAAATTACACTTTGCTTGAGAATGAACTGCATGTTCTAAGACGTGAGAATGCAGAGAAAGAAACTAAGCTGGCAAGCATAAATGTTATTATAGAAACGACTCAAAAGCAGTTTGATGAAAAACGCGAAGTGATCGAAGAAATAGTATCTATTTTGGAAAAGCAAGCGTTAACGCCAATCTCTTATGAAAAGCAAGATGTCTTGTGCGAGTTACAACGACAACTGCAACAAGCTACTGGAAGAGATGGAGAAATAAAAACGTTAAATGAAGCAATCCGCGAATTAGAATCCAATTTAGCTAGATCGTCTGGAGAGAAAGCTCGTGAGATTACAGGCCTCAATCAGGTAATTGAAGATTTGGAAAGAGAGCTTAGCGTTATCCATGAAAAAGAAGCTGAGATAGTGCGTTTATCAACAGAACTCAAACTCGTTTTAGAGGAAAAAGACAAACTTACTTATGAAATTGCATTAAACAAGCGCGAAAAGGAGGCATTGAATAATGACTTGGCACAACTAAAGACTGAACATTCACAATGCTTAATAACTATAGAAGCTTTGAAGCAAAGTATTGAAGCATCAGCGAATACACATCAAGTCTTACAAAAGACTCTCGATGAAAGATGTAAAGAGATACATGATTTGAATGAGAGTGTATTTGAGTTGCAACAAGGTGCTCGAAACGACAGCAATGAAGAGGTGGAAAGTATGTACTCGGATCTTTCAAAAATGAAGGAGGAATATTTAACTTTACAGGTAAGTAAAATTAGTTTTTTCTATATAGAGATGATCAACATTATTGTCATTCCTCAGGGCTATCTATCTGAGTGGCGTACAAAGCTAACGGATTCTAATCAGCAATTGGCTCAAAAAATTCAAGAACTCCAAGTCGCAAATGAGAAAATAATTCATTATCAACAAAGCTACGAAGAATGTGACGAAAAAAATAAACAGCTAAAAAAACTTATGGATCAACAAGAAATAGAGTATAATAACTCTTTGGCTATGTTGAAAAATAGTGTCGCATCTGACGTGCAAGACCATTATAATGAATTAGTATCCAACAGAGATTTAGATATTGACACTCTGAAAGGACAAATTCAAGAACTGATTGCTGCCAATCAGAGTTATGCTGAGAGATTGAATCAGGAAATATCTGCAAAAGAACAAATGCAACAACAGCTATTTGAAAACAATCAGTTGGTTGATGAGGATACCAAACAGCTCGAAGAACTTAAATTAATCATAGAGGACCAAGTAGCAAAAATTGAACAACTTAAAAAGGAACTTTTTGATAAGAGCAACCAATATGATAGTTTGATTGCTGAAATGGATGTTGGTAGACTTCCAATTACTCGCCAGCCTTTAAGTGCAGCACCTACAGTGAGTGTGAATTTTTTTAATTCAAAAATATTTAAACGTATACAATGGGGATACGAATGGGTTTGACAAATTCATGGAAAATTTAATAATTTTAGTATAACACTCGATCAGGCCAATTTTTATATTTGGATGCAATTTTTGTGTGTGTAAATTCATTTTTAAATGTGTCTCAAAAAGAAAGTATAACCATCTTTTTCAATGTTTGTACGATCTTGAAGGCGTCTAGTCCTTCATCAAATTTCAGACAAGTTTATTCATCATGGCCTTTATCGCAAAATGCGATGACAGTAAGAAGGTAACTTTAATGTGCTGTTTGTTAGGCTCCTGTTGCTGATACCAAACGGCAATATGAGGATGACGATCTTTCAGCACCAGCTAGTAGAGCGGAGTTGGATGTTGCCTTGTACATGTTACATCAACGTGATGTTAGATGTGAAGAATTAACCGTGGAGTTAACGCAGTTACTAGAAGAGCGAGATATACTACAGTTGAGATTATCAAATGCAATCAGGGAAAAAGAAGAGCTAAAATCACGTCCAGGTATGTCCGTTTATACGAGGGTGGTTTGAAAAGTCCCCCTAGGACCGGTTGGTGGGTGCCTGAGGTTGGCGCATTTCGCTCATGACGGCTCTAATGATGCCGAAAACCTTTCATTGTTCTTGTATCATGTTGTCGATCTTTTCGGCTGCAAAGAGTGCACCGATACACTCCTGAGAACAACCATTGGATTGGCATGGGGGATTCTGAACCAAAAGGCGAATATAGTTTATTTGCCCGGGAAGGTTATGGAAGATCTTTTAGGATTCGCAAGGAGTAATCTTTATTGATTATATGGACGAGGGTAAAACCGACTCAACCACACGTCTCCATCTTTCTCTATCAAGCATCCGATCGGGGCCATCTTCGATATTCATGGCTTTTAGGTCTTTTGCAATATTATCTCTTCATCTAAGGCGGGCCGACCTAATGGACGTTTTTCCCCTGGAACCTCCTCCCACACCAGTTTTACTATTCTATCATCTGGCATTCTTTTTACGTGTCCTGTCCACTTTAGTCTCCTGGCCTTTATTTCGTTTATCAGTGTGGAGTTCTTTGAGTTCTTGATTGGTTTTTATTCTATATTGCCCTGTATTTTCGTCTCTAGTTGGGTCGAATATTTTTCTTAGCACTTTCCTTTCAAATACCTTAAGTCGGTCTTCGCTTGCAACCGTTAGGGTCCAGGTCTCGCATCCACATATTACGACAGGCCTTATAATTGTTTTGCATATGTTCAGCTTAGTTTTTCTGGGAAGTATTCTAGATTTTATTAGGTTTTGAAGAGCAAAGAGGCATCTGTTTGCAGCCTGTATCCTGTTCTTTATCTCTTCCGCGATATCGTTGTTTTCACTAATACTTGTACCCAGATATTTAAATTGTCTTGTCCGCTCACATTTGTGGTCTCCGATAGAGAAGTTTTGTTCTACTCTATCTCGGTTCCGATTATTTCTACTGAGGTACATATACTTGGTCTTGTTCTCATTTATTTTGAGGCCTATCCTTTCAGCTTCCTTTTCGAACTTTATGAAGGACGCTGTCGTATCGGTAAAGGCCCGATTACTGGAAAACAATTCGGCTGATAAATATATGCGTGCAAAGCAGGAGCGCACGTGTTTTGCAGGGGAATCC